TAGAACGACATGAGGGTGAGTAATTAATGACAGAATTTTCATTTTTGGGTGAACTATCCCTTTAACTAGGATGGAGCGAGTAGTAGCTGTTATCGTGGACCACAGCAAAAGGGAGGCTAAAAAGTTGCTGCTATATTTAGCATCATCTTGCAGCCAAATACTCATTCAAAACCTTATACTGTTGTCAGGGAGGAGATTAGCAAAGGGCAGGAAACCCATCACCAATAACCTGCAAGATAGAATATATATATACAACAACATGATCGGGTGAAAGTCGGCTCCTTATGCCATGTGTCAACCAAAGTGTTTTTAGCCAGCTGAAAACGGCAGGCACTCTTCTGAAAATGCCTCGCTGTGAACACTTGCGAGCGCTACGGAGGCGCTTTGGTTGCTGTGAGACAGAATAGCCGCTGAAGTAATGTGGCAGACGCATCACGAATGAAATTTTGCGGCATTATTTTCGAATAATTATTGCAGATAGAATATTCGAATATTCGACTATTCGTGCACACCCCTAATAATAACATGAACATTGAGAAAGAAAAATGACAGACATTGAAAGAAAAAGTAGCGAATCTGAGATTCTGATATCAAAGTGACGATGTAATATTATAAGGAACATATTATGACACACTAAACTCTCTCTAATGACTTAGACTAAGGGGAGGAGAAACTCTTCAACACCTTTGTGTGACTGTTACAAGGATCTCCCTGACACATCAAGAGCCTCTTTATCTTTAAGTATCACAGGCAGGCAGGGGCTTCTCATTGTCAAAGGCTGTAGGCCACTTCAAACTCAAATACACATGCAGCTGTTCCCTTAGGGAAGCTGTCATACATGATGAAAGCACCCTTTCCGAACCCAAACACCACACAGATCGGGTATTCCCTCAACAGGTACTGTCTGAACATCCATAGACGCTGTTCTCACACCAGGCCCTTGGGTTTGGTAAGATCTTTTGGTCTGTCAGCTGCCTTATTTAATTGCTTTTCATGTTATTTGGAGAGGAACCCCACAATCCAAACATTTAGGCATTAAGGTATTCAAAGGCTGTCGGAGTGATGGGAATTGATACATATTATTGAGGATTCATCAAATCTGACCACTAGTCTGACCACACACTTACATAAAAGGTCAATATATACCATTGTATTGACTCAGACAATGTTAGTTTGGGCTGTCTGGAGCCCAGTCAAAACAACCAATGTTTAAAGGCAAGTTCACTGTTTGGGCCAATTGCCTAATGCACAGACATGGGATCAAAAAATTTGGTGGAGACGAAATGAGCGTAAGATGAGCATAAAGGGGTCTTGTCAGTGAACTGTGATTGAGTAGGCCTACTTGCTGCTTGAAAAATTGCGCAAAAGGAAAAAAAACGGCATTTTCGGTTCCACATTTGCAATGCAGGGCAGCCATTAAAATGCAATCATTGCGCGTTCAGCTAGTGCTCTCCAGGCCTGAGTGCATGTAAATATTAGCATTAGCTTGAGGGTTGGTGCAGCGGGCAGAGCTAATGTGGCTCCCATCACACAACTTTTACAGCCTTGACCCCCCGCATCATCTCCATGTATCATTTTGCGCTGGTTCAGTGCCGTTAATCAATTTAGGAGGCAGTAATGATGCAATTTAGGAGGAAGGAACTCTGCATTATAAAGAGCTTACATTATTTATCAAGGGCTGGATCTGGGGCCCTCCATTAAGCGCCAGCTCTATTGCAATGTTCTCTAATAAAAAATAAAAAAACAAGGGTTTAGGGTTGGACAAATGGAGAAGGAGGGATACAGAGAAAGTGAGAGAGACAGACACTCTGAACAAGAGCAAGTGTGCTTCAAACTCCCTGTGATGCCACTTTTAAATCAAACTGGCCAAAGGTTCATGCACAACAGCTAATGCTCTGTAAACTGATGGCTAATTGTTTGTTCTCAGTATATTGTGAGTCACTGTGGAGCTTCACTGATACTATGAGCCAAGAAACCACAAAAGAAAGTTGGCCTGTTAAACTTACAGAAAACAGGCATTTCACATTAAATACATCCCAATGCAGTGTGTGCGCAGTCTGCGCATACAGACCTGATCATGTGATGGATACATTCACTTTACACTTTGCAAACAGAAAGCAGGGACACTATGTTGGTCTGTGAACAAAAATGCCTACAACTATAGCAGATATAGTTTAATTATTTTTTTTGTTTGTTTGTTTATTTATTGTATACATGCCTCCTTCTCATAATAATAACAGCAGTGACAATGATAATAATAATAATAAAAACAACTTTTTAGGTCTGTGAACAATATATCAGATATCTTATAATATGCTACACGATTGTGATAATTTCCAACTATAGTGGATGGACAGAATGATGATGATGATTATTTATTATTATTTAACAACAACAATAATGGAAACAATTTTCTAAAATGTAATTACTTTTATTTTTTACTTTTTATTCATTTTATTAAAATAATGAATAAAAATAAATACATAAATAAAAAGTTTTAAAAATTTCCTAAAATTTTATGAAGCAAAAGATTAAGTGTGACTCCATGCACACACAAAAGCTATCTGGAAATGTAAAGAAAATTCATAAAATTGTATGTATTTCATTTTCGAAATATGTAGGTCACTGTACAAACCTCATTCATTTAAGATTTGATTTTCAAAATTGGGTACCACAGGGGGTCTGCCAATTACTGTTTGATCCCAAACTAATTTTTGTGACAAAAATTAAAATATGCATTTATCAAAATCACAATGTCAACAATGTTCAATGAAAACCAATGTTAAGAAACTAAAGTTCAGATGTTTCATTGACATATTTTAATGTATCGAAAATGTGCAGATATAATGTCTCTATACATTCAATAATGATTATTTTAATGGCTTTCTAATATACTGTACACAGCTATAAGCCAGCCTTAAAATTCAACACTCACTGTACATTCATACAATGTACAAGAGGGTCACTGCTCATCTCTGTCCACTAAGGTACCAAGCAACTCACCCAAACAATACAGTAAGTTAAATGCTGATATAAGACAAACACACACACACACACACAATGTGTGGGAATAAAACAATCCAAGCAAATCATGGACAAGGACAAATTCTTGTCCTTTGAGTAATCTGATATGTCATCTTCAATGATGTCAGAAAATCTGGCTCAGGTCTCACAGGCTCTGCATGCATCATGTAAATATTCACTGTAAGTGACGTGTATGATTTATTGCCATTTTTGAACAACCAAAAAAAATCCCCTCCAACTGCACAATAAACCGAAGTGGGTGGTAAAGCACGGCATGTAATGAATAATATATAAAGGAATGACTAAACAGATTTTAACCCATTTGTGTGGATTCAATAATCAAGGTCAATACTTGAATTAAAAAGTATATAAACAAATACAACGTAAAAATGAAATATTTTTTATAATATTGAAACTGACGGCAAACATCAACAACAGCACAATCATCATGTGACAGTCAAACAAAATTTAACAACAAACAGCAACAACAAGGTGATGTGCAGACACACCACATGAACCATAGCAAATACTGAGTGAATTACTCTCTTGAGTTGTTATGAAGAACAACCAAGTTGGATGCTTCATCCCTGTTCTCAATGAGCGATAAACACTCGGTAAGAAGTTATAAATTGCGCGTTCCTTCTAAAACCATTTACAGAAGAGCCGTTTGTAATTTCACAGTTTGTTGACGTGTTTAAATAAAAAAAAAGTAAAGTTTACTGTACCTTGTGCGCTACCTCGACGCGATCCTTCACAGCGTTCATACAAGCACACTGTACTCTCGCCTGGCGTCAGTGTGTCGCGGACCGCCGCACCCTCCGCACTAAACTCGTATCACGCCGCGGGATATTGTGAGGGGCGGTGCGCAAGTCCTACTTTTTTACACATTCAGTGTTTTCAAAGTACCGTGGAATGAATTATGTAACATTGTAACGATGTAGCCTACTCTTTCTAGGGCCAGAGGAGGCCAGTCTGTGGCCCATCATGGCACTGTCCAGGGTAGGACCATGGGGAAACCATGCGGTGCAGTGAGCGTATCAAGTCCTGATGCTGTTAATTCAGCTCAGCATACAACAATTGAGGATGTGATTTATCACTGTGCAGTACAGTAGCGCGAATGCAAATAGACCTAATGTGTGACAAGTGGTAAACAAACCTACATTACTAGAAATCAGCATGAAGTTCATCCCAGGAATAGAATGACATTGATGCCATTTCAATTTGCATATTTTAAAAACAACGCTTATGACAAATTATCAAAAATGTTTATGTTAAAGGTATCGTGTTGATTGATTGACACGCCACAAGTGCCTTAATTGCTAATATACAAATAAAATAGTTAAATGTGCAAATATGTTTCTTGAAAGTGATTTAGATTGATATATTTTCTTGAAAAAATTAAACGAGCAAAGTTACATTTAATTACTTTTATTTCTTTTTTTAATTTACTTTAGCCTATAAAAATAATATATATATAATAAAATATAAATAAATAAATACATATATAGCCTACTTACACAGATATAGGCTATATATATATATATATATATATATATATATGTGTGTGTGTGTGTGTGTGTGTGTGTATATATATATATATATATATATAAAGAAATCCTAAAATGCTATAAAGCAACATGGTGTTATGAATCAAATCTTTATTTGCTAACGTGTTTATCCACAATGTTTCTAATCTCGCAAAAAATTGCGCATAAACTGTCAATGTAAAATCTTTTTGCATGTAGAGCTTGTCAATAACAAGTTGTCTGTAACAACGTGAAGACGAAAAACAAAACGTGAAAATTACAGTCCATCATAGAAAATCAATCATATTTTCTACAAACGAAATGCACAATCAATGGATAAATCAATGAATGTTATTTCAGACAGTCTTTATGAAACCATTCAATGTCACGTTGTTAATGGAACTATATTATCCTGTGGCGTCGGTGGCGGAGGGAGACCATCTAGAGTAGCAATGCTGCTCGCGCAGATTACGTCACGCGGTTGGCGACAGAACGTCTGAGTGAGGCGCGGAGAAGGGTCTGGCTGCAGCCTCGCACTTGCACTCTCAGACTTGCATTCTCAGACTTGCACTCTCAGACACCTGCACTTCCGCTAGCGACGTCACTTGCAGTCTTTATTTTTTTTATTTTGTTCTATTTATTTATTCTTTTTGTTTGAATCTCTCAACATTTTACAACAGTAGCCAGGTGGTGAAGACAAGACAAAAGAAACTAAATTACGAAGTCATTTGCACTCTCTGATACCTGCGACGTCACTTGCAATCGACACAAATCGTGCGTGTTGCCAATGGAGACAAGACGCTGTGGTGGTGATTAAATGATTAAAACTAATTTAGTACCGTAACCTACAGGGTCCTGCAAGAAAAAGACAAGACCCGCAAATCCGTCGCCACAGAAC